AGGTGGTATGGCTTAATTAGCTGATTAGAGTGGGACACTTTGGGGTTTATTTACTAAAGCTGGAGAGTCCAAAATCAAACTCCCTTCTGTATAGAAACCAATCAGCTTCCAGGTTTCATTGCCAAAGCTTCATTGAACAAGCTGAGGTTAGAAGCTGATTGGTTTCTATGCAGAAGGGAGTCTGATTTTGGACTCTCCAGCTTTAGTAAATAAACCCCTTTGAGCCTAGAATATTGCACCTTTTCACAATATTCTAATTTTCTGAGATTGTGGATTTGGGGTTTTCATGAGCTGTAAGCCATATTCATCACATTTATGACAAATCACGGCTTGAACTATCTTGCTTTGCATGTAATGAGTCTATCTCATATATTAGTTTCTCCTTTTAAGTTGCATTACTGAAATAAATGAACTTTTGCACAATATTCTAATTTTTTGAGTTTTACCTGTATTCTCCAGTGAGCATATTCAATAGCATTTCCAGCCAAACAGAGGTGGTCTGGATGCATAAGTATGTGCGGTTTGAGATTAGCACAAGGCATTAGACCAGAAGCCATGCAGGCTGTTAGGGGGAATCCACTTTTGTTAAGAAAAAACAAACTAATGAAGAGGACTTCCTCTCTGGGTTATCTATGTAGATTGCAGCATTTTATCAAAGTTTGGTACAGTTTCCTACCTGTTTTTTTCTGTCCTTGACATATAACTGTTTCATCCTGTCCTGGTTTCTGTATGGCAGGTTCTGGTTCATTAGCCACCTGGTGGATTCATGGTGCTCTGATGTGGGAAGATGCAGTGTCAGCATTCCTTTAGCAGTGGTTAACCTTTTAGGTGTTTTTCTCACCTTGCAAACAGAAACAACAACTATTGCATTGTCTTTTTTGACAGCTTAAGAAATGTTAGCAGCTGCAGTTTGAATTGGGAGGGTAATGTTTAAATTACTACATGGCTTGAGTAGCAACTGTGCATTATAATATTCTTTCCTAACAATGTGGAGTTCTCCTTTAGACTTGCTTAGTACCCTGTTTGGGAGGAGTGTGTTTCATTTACTGTGACAGGTCCTTCTGCAGTGGGCAGTTTGATCCCTCTATGCTGTGACTGCTCTATGCATGTTAGTAGAGGGAGGGGGTTAGTGTCTTCCTTATTGGTACTTTTACCTGTATTGTCAGTCCTTCTGTGGACCTCCTAAAGTGGGTCCTGACACCCCAGATTATCTGAAGCCCTGTGCATGGCTGCTACCCTCTGCAATATGAATCAACACCTTTTTGTGGCTCATTATTTTACACTTTGGGCCTGGGTCTGGCCCTGCCCACCCACTGCCTAGATGAGAATTGCATTTCCCTGCTGTCTTAGCCTCCTGGGATTCAATATCATATATCCCAGGGGTCTGCAGAAGTAGGGAATAAAAGAGTCCAGTGGGCAGAGCTGTGATCTGCGGCTTGAACTTAGAAGAGGCACCCAGCTTCTGTTGACTGAGGGCTACTGTACCTGGTCAGCTGATCGCAACAGGACAACATTGGATCTGCTAGGCAGGGGAATATTTGAATTCAGGACAATGCTGCATGACAGATAAATGGAACCAACCAAAAAAAAAAAAAAAATCAAAGGAGCAACTGAAGTTCTTCCTTAATAAGACCCTGAAAACAACAACACTGTCTCCAACAGTGACTATTTTGAAATTAAATCCAGTGTACAGATCTGTATAAATATACTATTTAAAGTGGTTGTAAAGGCTGAAGGCATGCTATGCCTGAAGGTAAGAAACCTTTTCTGTAAAGCAGTGCCTCCAACCTCCCCTAATACTCACCTAAGCCCCCTCTCGATCCAGCGATGTGCACTGGAGTCTCAGCTGTTCTGGGACTCCCTCTCCTCTTTGGCTGAGACATCAGCTGGAGCAGCTCCCACTGCTGTTATGTCAATCACAGCCAGTGAGCCAATGGTGGTGTCGAGCCACGGCTCTGTGTGTGAATGGACACATGGAGCAGCGGGTTCCCCCATTTCAAACTGCTTGCTATGGGGGCACCTGACAGGAGGGAGGGAGGGGCCAGGAGTGCCGGCGGGGGACCCGAGAAGAGGAGAATCTGCTTTGTGCAAAACACACAGCAGGTAAGTATAGACATGTTTGTTATTTTTTTTTAAATTTAAGCCTTTAGAATCACTTTAACCACTTGTCCTCCAGAGGATTTACCCCCCTTCCTGACCAGGCCATTTTTTTTGCGTTACGGCGCTGCATTTTTTTTAACTGACAATTTTGCTGTCATGCAATGCTACACTCAAATGATATTTAAGTCTCTTTTTTCCCACAAACAGAGCTTTCTTTCAGTAATATTTCAGTCCCTTTGATAACGTGCTCGGGCACAAAATACGTTAGGGAGGAGCCAGGATGGTGACGTCACACCGCACAGGCCACGTGGCAGGCCGGTGGCCATCTTTACTACTGTCACATTAATGTGAGTGATTTTACCTGGATTTACCTTTGCTTGGCATTAATTAATAAAACATACTACACTATCAGCATTTTTTGTTTGGGCTTGGTTTATTGCGAGCCCCCCCTTAAGGTGGATTCTTGTCCTGCTCCCCACCCATTATTGAGAGGTGACCCCCTGGTGTTTGTACATGATATCTGTTACCTGGAGAGTGATCTCCCTGCTGGATGGATGAGTGTTCCTGATCCCTGGAGAATGATGTCCATTTGATCACCTGTCTTTTCGGTTGGATGGCCAGATGATCCTTCGATTTTCATCTTTCCTTATCCAGAGGACCGGGAGTGGTTTAATTACTCAAATGCGCATAGCTTTGCGCTATCTGGTTAGTGCAATCTACACTCATTTTTACATCACGAATTTCACCTCAATATAGAGATTGGGACTTTTATGCTAGTTTATATTTAATTATTATTAAGGTCACTACCTGCACAGTTTACGTCTGTAGACGTTCATCACACTTCAATATATTTATAGCTCTCCACAGCGCACGATTAACCTGATTATATTTTATGTTTATTTTGTTCTCAGCGCTGCATATGTTTATTGAGTAATATTTGATCACCTGTGCGTTTTTTTTATTTTGAGAAAAAAAACTATATTTTTGACTTTTTGCTAGTAAACATGTCCAATAAAAAAATGTCATCATAAATTTAGGTCAAAATGTATTCTGCTATAGGTCTTTGCTGGAAAAAAAAATCCCAATACATGTAAATTAATTAGTTTACGTGAAAGTTATATTGTTTACAAATGGCGGTATATATACTGGAATTTTTTTTTCGTTTTAGTAATGGCGGTGATCAGTGACTTATAGAAGGACTGCGGGACTGCAGCGGGCATTCTGACACTGGGGGAACTGACTAATAAAAAGCACTGATACTGTACTAATAGCACTGGGCAGGAAGGGGTTAACATCTGAGGCAATCAAAGGGTTAACTGTGTGCCGTTTAACTGTGTGCTGTGCAGAGCCATACAAAGCAGTTTGCAGGAGCTGACAGGGGAGAGATCTGTGTTGTTTATACACAGGTCTCTCCCCCGTCGGTAATACTCGGCAATCACCGGGTGCCAGCGAGTAATCACCAGCCAGGACCCGGTGATTGACAGCCGAGGCCGCGAATGGAGGCGCAATTAGGGTGCCGCCATTCGGAACTGCATTTGGAACTGTACCCAGAACTGCAAAATCACGTAGCTATACCTGTACGTGATTTTGTGCATCCGTGCCACCCTGTAGCAGTATTTCTGCTATGTAGCGGACGGGAAGCTGTTAACCTCTATTCTGTATATCATCATTGTGTTGAGTAGGGAGCCATCTATTGGATGTTCACTGCAATTGCACCTGTTTTCATTATTTCTTTCAGCAATGATAGGGCATGTCAGGTGTTTGTTAAATAAAGTTTCCATGAATCACTGAAGTGCCATTTCCAGCTTCTACAAGAACACACCAATGAGGGCGCCCTTTCTCCCTTTGATACACATATGTTTGTAAGTCGGTTTATTATTGGTTATAGTCATATATATATATATATATATTGCATTTCAATGTAATTTGCAGGTAGTTGTGTGCAACAAATGTGTTCATTGTATGCATTTGTAAAATATGTGTACAAGCATATTGTAACTTAAGTTTATCTGATTGTATTGCAGTTTTACAGAACTATTCACAGAAGTAAATATGGTTTTGGAATGAAGCACAATGCTGCCAGCTGTCAGTTTTGTTAGCTAACTGTTAGTAGGACAGCATACAGTAACTCCCAAAGTTGTTTATAATAGATTTACTTTTCCTCCTGCCAAATGATTTAAAAGTATTAGTGATAAAAGAGCTGCACTGTGTTTAATTCACATACTTGCGGTGCACCACAAACCACAGATGGTTCCGCGCTGGTGCATTTATAAAGTGAGTTGAGGTTCCATTTGTAAGCAATTGCACTGCACCTTGTTTTTTGTGTTACCGCATGTTGAGGAACGAAAGCTCACATTTTTACTGTGCATTGCTCCAATGCACAGATTTAAATCTGTCTCTTGTGACAATTCTTGTGCTTTAATTCTTCATGGTCCATGTTTTCAGGAGGGTTGACAAGAGTATACATTCTATCTAAAAATTGTTCATTTTAGCAGGTTAGTACACAGCACACAGAATCATGTAAAAGAAAACTATGGGAGAGATTTACTAAAACTGGTGCACTTAGAATCTGGTGCAGCTGTGCATGGGAGCCAATCGGCTTCTAACTTCAGCGTGTTCAGTTAAGCTTTGACAGTAAAACCTGGAAGCTGATTGGTTTCTGTGCAGATCTGCACTTGATTTTGTACTCTTCAGCCTCAGTAAATGACCCCCTATGCTGATCTTTCCAGCTCTGCAACCATGGAAGCAATTGCAGGAATGCTTTAAGCATACAAAACTCCATACAAAATGTTATCTTATAACAGTGACGCCTACTAAGGTGTGTCATGGTAAGTGTCATGGTCTGTTGGCTTACATAACTCCTTTTTTTCTTGCACAGAGTTCGAGTCTGAACCTGCTGAATGATGGGAGACAATATCATTCTTCTCGCTGTTATTTCACTGTTTTCTGCGTGTCAGCAAGGTAAGGTAAAATGTATATGAATATTATGTGACTAAACATATAGTGTTTGTATGTACAGATGTCATTATAACAGAGCCCTGTAGCATGTGTTCAAACTAGCAAATGGAATATAGAGCAGAGAGTCACTTCCTGATGGCCGCATACCGTAAGGACAGTATTGTGCAATCATGTAACACAGTAAACGTGTCCTGTACCTTGCTCTGAAACAAAATGTGAAAGGTACAATAACTTCTGCACCATTTCAGAGCTGGAACTTCAGACATGAAAGTGGAGTTTTAGCTGTTTTTGTGTTTATTAAAAGTCAGCAGCTACAAAAACTGTAGTTGCTGACTTTTAATAAACACACACTTACCTGTCCCAGGGTCCAGCGATGTACTCACCCGTGCTGTCCCTTTCTCTTCTTCTTCTCTCCGTGGCGCCTGCATCTCAACTGTGGACGCCAGGCTATACCAGCTTATGGATTCACAGCCTGGAGCCCACTGTGCATGCGTGAGTCACGCTGTGCCTCCTAATTGGTCTGGCAGTCTTCTGGTACCTGTGAAGGTGCCCAGGAGACTGCAGGAGGAAGGATGGGGCCGAACTTCCGGCTCACTTTGCCACGACGAACTGAGCCGGAGGTGGGAATGGTTAACTGTCAAAACCAGGTACCCCCAAAAGGTGCCAAATATGGTAGTGGAGGGGGGGAGGCAAACAAGCAGAGCTTCCACTTTTGGGTGAAACTCTGAAGCTCAATTCATGAATCTTTCTTTTTGGCTGCATTACAGTCTTAACCAAAGAAGTTTGGGGTTATAAAAAAAAAAGCACACAAAATACTCACCCCTATGCTGCAGCCATTCCTCATCGACTCTAAGACTGAGACCTAAACGATCACACAACCACTGATCACTAATTTCTCGGTTTTCTCAGAACAGAGAGCAGTGACTGTCAGTCACCGCTCTTGACTTTGCCCCTCCAGAGCTCACTGGAGCACTAGGCTGGAAAAGAGATAGTTGCAGCTGGCTTTGGCCCTCAGTCATGAGTGCTGAGAGCGGGAGCTAGCTGTCAGTCAGGCAACTGGGTGGATCCTGACAATATGGTTGGAATCCATCCTGAACCTAGAGTGGCTCTGTGACGTCAGCTAACAGTGGGCTTTAGGCTGACTTTAGGTCACAGGACTGTAAAAGTAAGTGTACTCCTGTGACCCACAAGAGAAGTATGGCCAAAAAAAGCTTTGGTCAAAGTTCTCTTTAAATCACTTTAGACTCAGTAGAAAAAAACTGGCACTTCTTTTTTAATTAGAATCCTTATCCTGATGTCATAGGTTTGCAAACTGAGACAATGGGGTCTTAGACAGTGGAACAACAGAAGTTTCCTTTAGGACACTTTCACACCAAATATTTTGTAGAAACATAGTGGAAATGCAGGATATATGTGATGATGCCCTGAGGTGCTGTTCATTGTTCAAATGGCACAGAAACGCACCTTCACAATGCAGTGTGTTGAAAAAAAAATTCTTACTGCAGTAATTTTTGTGCATTGCAGCCCATTGATGAATATGAGCTGTCTAGTGCTGCATGCTACAAGAAGCCTCAACACAAGAGGCACAGGAACAAATGAATTGCATGCGAGCATACAAGCTTGGTGGCGAGGCAGATGGAACATTCCTCCATGGTTCTCATTAACTTGGGCACCAATTCCGGATCACACAACCACATCACCCCTGTTGTGGGTTCTTCTGGGCTATGCTAGGCACCTGTAACATGATCACTCAACTTTACACAGAGGTACCTTTACTCTTTGCCGTTTCATCAATGCCTTGGGACAAAGCTGAGTCCATCATCAGCGAATGCTCAACCTTAAGGTGGGCCTCTACTCTTAGAGATGAATGTACACCATGTACACTTGCACAACATCTGTCCTCTAGTTAACTCCTGGGTCCCCGTGCATATGTACACCTTCACTGTAGATTTGCAGTTAGAAAGGACTCTCTTAGCATTGTCCACATCCACCTGTTCAGAGTTTTGCACTACCTCTCCCGGTAGCAGAGTGGGGCCCCGCCGTGCACCTAGTGCAGGCTACGTATGTGCATTTAATTTAGATCTTGAGCTTTTGTGCCTCTGTACAGGATGGGACCTCTGTGGTGCCAATCCGTTCCCATTGCTATGGGAGGCAGAACACTGGAAGGAGTGCTGATAACATCTCACTCGCTGCTGGAGGCCATGCCACCTGCTATAGGTACATGCCAATGACAGGCTGCTTGACTGACTGTTCACTTGCATTACCCTTGGCAACCACTTGCTATACTGCACCAGAATGACTATTTTAGTGCTGTCTTCATGCCAATAAATGCCTAGTTACCCACAGCTGTGAACTTGCATTACAATCCTTTAAAAACTGCTGACCAGGCAGAAAGTAGTTTCAACACTTTAGTTAGAAATCATGCAAAACATGACAGTTCACATGCACAAAAGCAGTTCTTCCCTAAAACCCTAAACCTTAACTCCGGCTTGAGTGCTGTGCCGGCACACCCTCAAAAGGTAAAGTCCATTAATGGAAAGTCCATTTGTATCGGCATCATCCAGCAGCTGGTGTCTTCGGGGTGAACCCTAGGCTCCAGTGGCTTCTTACATTATGATAGGTTCCCAGATGACAGAAAAGTGTAACATCATTCTCTCTCAGGCCAAGGGTTTGTGGCAAGAGCCTCGTGCTCTAAACCACTGTCCCTTTTATAACCCCAGGATCAATGGATCGGACCCAAGAAGCCTGCCAGACAGCAAACCTGGGAATTCAGGTTAACCCTAACCCTCCCGTCCAGAGCAGCACCTAGCTAGCTGGATTGCAACTCACAAGCCCACTGCGTTGTGGTTTGAAAGATCTAACTCAGTGCTATGTTTCTGCATAGACAAAATAGGCAGGCTAACAACTACCTATGTATCATTTATTGACTATTAGTAACGTATTGCAGTGTATAACACAATGTTGTGGACTGTCATTGTGCCTTCCAGTGCAATCTGCCTGGGTCCTCAATGTTGCTGTCTCTGGACTGTGTCTGGGGTTTTTGTAGAATAGTGTACTGGGTACAGTTCACTCACTCTGAGCTTGTACAAGTGGGACCAAGCTGGTGTCGGAATACAAAGACAGCAGATGGGGAGCGGTGAAGCGGCTGCTTTTCAATACAGAGGACCTGGAAAGGTAAATATATATTTGTGCTTCTTTTACAGGTGATCTATTTGGTAAAAATGGCCTAATCATTATTAGTTAGATCATTAACATCTACAGGTGTAGGGTTATAAAATTAAGTATTTTCATACAAGCATAAAAACATTTTAAAGCTGAAGTTTAGGTATGGCAAGTTCCAGCTTGGACCAATACAGTATATGTATGTTTGGGCCATACCTGTGGAATTCCCATAGAAACCACTGCAGTAGGCACTGATACTATAGTGATCTCCACAAGTTTCCAGGTGCTGTGCTGAGCGGCTCCACATTTAGTCTCATTCTGAATAAATGCATCCTGTAATTTGATGAGGTGGAGAGGAGGGGCAGTGATGTCACGATCTCCACCTTGACCGATCACAAAACATTTTGCATTCACTGAGAAAATGCAAAGTGTTCTCTGTATAGCTCACATGCCAAGCAAGTGGCTTCCTGTGTTCATAATTCAGCAGGGACCTGGAAGCTAGTTGAGATCACTGTAGCAGTGGTGCCTACTACAGTGATTTCCATTTTCCATGGGGATCCCACAGGTTTGGAAATACATACAGTTGTGTTCAAAATAATAGCAGTGTGTTGAAAAAGTGAATAAAGCTCAAAATCCTTCTAATAGCTTTTATTTCCATACACCCAAATGCATTGGGAACACTACACATTCTATTCCAAATCAAAACATGAAGAAAAATATATCAAATTTGTGTTGTTCCTCTAAAAAAATTGAAGAAAAGTGTCTTGTTGGAACACCCATTTCAAGGGCATTTCCTCTTCAGCACAAGGCAGTATGACCTCTTCAAGTATTCTGATGTATTCAAACTGATCCATGATCCCTGGTATGTGATAAACAGGCCCAACACCGTAGTATGAGAAACATCCCCATATCATGATGCTTGCGGAACCATGCTTCACTGTCTTCACAGTGTACTGTGGCTTGAATTCAGTGTTTGGGGGTCGTCTGACAAACTGTCTCCGGCCACCAGACCCAAAAAGAACAATCTTACTTTCATCAGTCCACAAAATGTTGCGCCATTTCTCTTTAGGCCAGTCAATGTGCTCTTTGGCAAATTGTAACCTCTTCAGCACGTCTTTTTTTCAACATTGGGACATTGCGGGGGCTTCTTGCAGATAGCTTGGCTTCACATAGGCGTCTTCTAATTGTAACAGTGCTCACAGGTAACTTTAGATCTTCTTTGATCTTCCTGGAGATGATTGTTGGCTGAGTCCTTGCCAATTTGGCTATTCTTCTATCCATTCGAATGGTAGTTTTTCGCTTTCTTCCACATCTTTCAGGTTTTGGTTGCCATTTTAAAGCATTTGCGATCATTTTAGCTGAGCAGCCTATCATTTTCTGCACTTCTTTATATGTTTTCCCCTCTCCAGTCAACTTTTTAATCAAGGTATGCTGTTCTTCTGGACAATGTCTGGAATGACCCATTTTCCTCAGAATTTCAGAGAGAAATGCACTGTAACCAGCATGTACAACATTTGCTGCCTTCCTTCCTTAAATAAGGGCAATAATTGCCACCTGTTTTTCAAAGAATGAATGACCTCACTAATAGAACTCAACACTGCTATTATTTTGAACATGCCCCTTTCAATTAGTGATTCAATTACACAGAATCAGCAGCATGCATGTCATGACTGTTGGGTCTGTTGGATTTCTATTACTCTACTACACCTGCTAGTAAATTATTTGCCAATATCATTTCTACCAAAAACAGTGATTGATCAGGTTAGTGATGTCTGACTGCTATTATTTTGAACACGACTGTACCTATACTGGCTCAAGTTGGACCAATTTAACTATAGAAAACTGTCATACCTGAAATTCAGCTTTAAGGGCAACTATAGCCTTTTTCTATTGGAGATATACAGTATATGTAAATGTGATCAGTTTACGGTAAATAATTATATCAGTACATCCATGTTTTAAAAACTTGGTGGTGGGAGAGGCAGCCATAGCTACATATTGTAGCAGTTCCTAGGGGTGAAGGCAATTGGACAGGTTAAAAAACACTACCTGATTGCTATTGGTTCCCCCAAAATAGTGTGTGCACTGCGTCTCCCTTCTGCATAGTCATAAACACAAAACCCTGTGTGGCTAAGTTGTTGTTTCTACTATTGGGCAAAGCTAAGCCAAAAGACATCATAAGAGAGTAGTAATCAGAGGAATTTGCCCCAAGGGCAGCTACTATTGCCATAGACATGATGCCATCACTATGAACAGCTGAAAGGCACTCACAAACATATGACAGTAGTCATCTAGTCCAGCCAGTAACAAAACAGTAATTGATTATTTGGCTTTAGCTAATATGAGTATTCTACAAAAAAATGAATGAAATGTATTATATCTACAGTTGACTTTTCTGGTGGCCCATGAACAATCTTTCTCTGTGTAAAGGAGATTGTGATTGGCTGATTTTTGGCACCAAATTGTTAAAGCTTATTCCTGGATAGAACAGTGACCTACCTGCTGGTAGTTGTTAGCCTTTGTGCCCAACCTCTGGCCATAGGCCTGCTCATGGCATCCCTAGCCTTTGGCTTTAATATTAGCATGTAATAAAATAATATCCACACATAAGATATATTTTATGCACTTTACTGTAGCTTCAAAGATGGCAGTGACATATAATATCACTTTCACACACTGAAAGAACTTTTCGGTACACATTGCCATACACAAGAGGAAACCTTCTGTAGCAGTCACTCAGGTGCAGAATGTCAGCACATAATTTTTAACCCATGTTCCTCTTCCTCCTCCTTGGGAGCACCACAGGGTTGGCAGAAATGTTCAAACACTCCGGCACTCAAACTGTTATATATCCAATGGTGTCACAACCTGTAATGCTTTGTCCGATGCAAACCTTCTCAGATCAGGAAATCCCCAAAAGAACTGTAAAAACAAACAGGCGAGTGCAGATGTCTAGGGCATTATCAACATCAACATTTATTGGATCCAAAAGACAAAAACTCACAAACATAAAAAGGAACAGGCATATCAAACACAACTCCAGCCGAAAGATAAAATCATCTGACCAGAGCTCTCTGAAGAAGGGAGCACGTCCCCCAAAATGCGTTAGCCTTGCAGCTTTTGAATACATGGCCAGATGACATTGTCTACGGTTGAGGTTGTGTTTCAAATGCCTGTTCCTTTTTATGTTTGTGAGTGTGTTTTTGTCTTTTGGATTCAGTAAACATTGGTGCTGGTAATGCACTAGGCATTTGTGCCCTTCTGTGCATTTTGACACCAAAGGGTTGGGACCAACCTCACTGAATACTAGAACCACAGCATTTCATTCCTGTCCACCGATTGACAAGGTGTCTTCTGTAGTTTCTCTCTATGTCCCACTCCATAGCTCTATCCAGTCGGGCACACTTCCAGATATTACTATATTGCTTCCAGGCGTAATAGTACTCAGAGAACACATAACCTGGCCTAAAAGGCCTTTTACATCCCACTCACGGCCCACAGACAACCATTACAGCGTCAGGGAGACTACAGCTGGTCCTTCTGGGTGTTGAACTACCTCCAATGAAGAGAGGAAATAATGCTCAGACAAATGATCAACATCAAACCAAAACAGGTGCAGACCCTGGCTCACCACCACACACATATGCAAATAGGAAGAAGGGTTGGCCGCACATCAAAGGAATGATGAAAAAAGTGCAAATAATTTATTAATGCTTAGGACGCAAAAGGCACCAGGACATAGGCAAAGCTGTTAACGCATTTCACACGATCATGTGCTTAGTCAACCCTTCTTGCTATTTGTTGAACTTCCTCAGCAGGGGCTTCAGCCCTGTTAAGGGCCATTGGCAGTAGCTGAATACATCCACATGGCTCTGGGGTGTTTGGTTTCCATGCCTCATCTCTTTAGGCTCCTCCCATCCTGACATTTATATGGGTACTAACAATGCCCATTACATCACTACAGGAAGGCTTTGTCTGAAAGGGACCTTACACCCACTTACATAATTTCCTATTACCACACTATTTTGAGACCGAGACATCTAGTGGCAAACTAGCTAACTGCACCTACTAACATCTACCTAAAGCATGTTACAATCTGATTGTACAATCACCTTTAAGTTTACCAACAACTGTATATTGGGATGGCATTCCTAATTGAAAATAAACCGAATGATTGTATAAATGATCAAACCGTATGTGACTAGTGTTTAATAAGAAACATGCTGAATCAATATCTAATTTACAGAGCACCAGTAGAAACAAAATTGTATCTGTCATGAACAGTGTCGTCGGTTGTCCTGGTAACATTGTGTAAGAACCTATAATTGCTTACCTGCAGATTAAGCTGAAAAATCTGCCATTCTGTGAAGATAACAAACCTCTAATTTTATTAGAAATGTGGAGTACAGCGACTACCCATCTTGCTTGGATATTGGATATGTAGAATGACAGTCCAATTGTGTAACAATCTATTCATGTGTCACCTGTTATTTATACTTATATGTATTCCATACAAACTTGAATTTTTAGCTCAGGTAAATAATACATATGGCCAAATCTGACAGAACACACTGTTTGAACCCAAAGTTGTCAGACAGACTAAATTACCGCGAATGACAAATCTTAGCCAAAATATTGTCCATCTTTCTTAAAGCAGTATTCAACCCTCAGTATTTTTTAACCTAACACATTGAGCACAATAAAATAAATATTCCATAGTAAAATGTTTGTTATACTTCTTACCCAGCATTTGCAGTTTAGAATTTTCAGTCCTGTTGGCTGCTCTCTCAGTGCTGCTTCCATGAACCTCTGGTCTCTATAGGAAAGTGTTAACAGTAGACATTGCAATGTCCAACCAGTCTATTAGTTTGAAGATGGGAGTGGGGAGCTGCTAAGACTGCGTAAAAAAACATTGGGTTTAATATTACTTTAATTCAGTATTTTACCATTTCTTCATAAAAATCCAGTTTTCCAGAAACATATGTTTATCAACCTAGCAAAGTGAAGCTTGTACAAAAAGCCGCTTTCATTTTATTTATATGCTCTTCTTTGTGATAGCGTACTATGCCAGGCTTGTGGGGAGATCTAGAATGAAACACAAGGTCACGCCTCCAGCAGTCACAGGACCTCCAGAATTTGAGAGGACATTCCGTGCACAGTAAGTTTCTGGTTATGATGTAGCACTAATGATGGCAGAAATACAAGCCACTACTAGGCCCCTTATGTTATGTCTATGAATACTTGTAGAGTGCATTGATACTTGCAAATGCAACCTGCCTGTCATTATATGTGAGAACCCCAGTGGGGGTTCCCGCGATTAGCTGCAAGAGGCCGCAGGATTGAAAGCAATGGGAGGCTGTTGACTGTCACAGCTAATCGCGCCCACTCCCATGTAATCATTCAATCAGCGATCACATACAGTCTGTGTCCAGGGCTGATAACTCACATGTGATCATTGCATGAGTGATTACATTGCTCAATGCGGCTGCCTACTCACAGCTAATTGCAAGAAGCCCTGCTGGGGTTCTTGCATGTAATCGCAGGCAGGGTGCATTCACAAACTCAATTGCACACTTAAAGTGGCAATGCTGATAAGTGATAAAAATCAATGAACCAATGAAGGATTAAACAGAAATTATACCGTATATGAGAAAAGTGCTGGCCATTGCTCTGCAAACATGAAACCCTTATTTTTATACTCACATTAATTGCTAATAAAATGCTTCCTGTAGAGCATGCAGGTATTATGTACCTATTGATACAGTTACAGTGCTGTGTGTGAGTGGATTTATGAAATAAATGCAATCAACATATATTTTTTATTCTGTTCTTAGGCAAAACTGCGTAGAGATCTACCCCATATTTCTTGTTCTTCTTTGGACAGCAGGCACATACTTTTTTCAAGGTAATGTAGCACTAACCCCATAAAAGTTGATAAAAATTTGGGTCCCCCTATAGTCCTGCAGAGCCAGGCAACACGCATTTCCAAACAGACTTGCACTCAGAGTCAGAAAACAGTCCTTGAGCTTGGTTTTATGTTCTATTAAGGGGTGTTGAACTTGGATGGGGTAAGTGGTGTATGGGATGCCTAATGGAACTGCAAACCGAAGACAAACTCCTTAGCAACTATGTAAAAGTCTTGACACAGCAGAAACTCTTCTTGGAAAGCTCTCCAGCCTCTCCTGGTGTACCACCCCAGACACCAGATAATCCTCTTCCTATCCAGCTGCCTGGGGGAATCCCTGGGCAAGGGAATCCAGTGCCTGCCACTTTTAAAGCAGCTAATCAGATTTCCCACCAGAGTGCTTTGATTCCCTTAACTGGCCCAGGGGATGTAGGACTACTCACTCAGTTTCAGTCCTGTGAGCAGATTTAGATAGGTTGCTTCCTTCAGGCCTTCTGCTGGGCTGGCTCCTTTCCTGGCTCTACAGGTGGTCCTCACTCTGTGGCCCGGTGAGGCTGAGGGATACTCCTGTCCAGCACCCTGCCTGTCGGTAGGCCCCTTCCCAATGGGCTCCCTCCCGGGCTCCTGCATCTCAGCTTTCTCACATCTTCCACCCAAACTCTCCTGCCACTGATAGGCTCAATCACTTTTAAGGGCTGTCCTAACACCATGCCAAGCCTCCTGCTTGGGGATTGGTCAGGATCCCTTAAGAGTGCGGTGCCGCCGCCGTCCCCCCCCCCCCCTTCCGACAGAAGGGACACTAAGTACAGGGGTGGGCAGAGGGCTGCTGTCTCTTACCTGACTCCCACGATGATCCATCCAGGAAGCGCTGCTCCTTCCGTCACTCCGGCCACTCCCTCACTCCTGCCGCTTGGCTCCGCCTCCTCACCGGTGATTGGCCGCCAGAACTGTAGCTCAGGAAAGGTACACAGGCAGCCAATCACGGGCGAGGAGGCGGAGCCGAGCGGACCCGCGAAAATCGAGTGAGGGAAAAGCCGGTAAGTGTGCAGTGCAGAGGTGCTGCTGCAACCACATATGCTGGCTGCAGCAGCACCATACTGCAACAGGGGTCAGCAAGTGTCATTGGTGTCAGTGGGAGGAATAGTGCCGCATCATTGGTGTCACTGATACTAATGATGGGGCATTATTCCTCCCACTGACACCAACGATGGGGCACTATTCCTCCCACTGACACCAACGATGGGGCACTATTCCTCCTCCCCACTGACACCAACGATGGGGCACTATTCCTCTCCCCACTGACAGGGTACTATTCCTCCCACTGACACCAATGTTGGGACACTATTCCTCCCACTGACACCAATGTTGGGACACTATTCCTCCCACTGACACCAATGTTGGGACACTATTCCTCCCACTGACACCAATGATGGGGTGCTATTCCTCCCACTGACAGCAATGATGGGGCGCTATTCCTCCTACTGACACCAATGTTGGGACACTATTCCTCCCACTGACACCAATGATGGGACGCTATTCCTCCCACTGACACCAATGTTGGGACACTATTCCTCCCACTGACACCAATAATGAGGCACTATTCCTCCCACTGACACCAATGATGGGGCGCCAATGATTAGGTCCTAAGTAAATGTTGGTGATCGGTTTGAATTCATTATTATTTATTGATTTTATGTATTTTTTCAGTATCATATGGTTTGACATGTCCAATCAAAAAATGTTTATAGTTTAATTAAGGATTTAATTTTTTTTGAATTTCTAATGCACTTTAAATCTTTTCTGCTACAGTTAATAAAGCTATTCTTTGTTGTAAATTGATACACATTTCTTTCTTTTTTTATTCTCTTATACGTTAATAAGGATACAGTGTTATGCAGAGGTGTACTTATAACAATTTTATTGACAAATGATACTATTTATAGTCGCGCAGGGGGCGCGAAATGTTTTTTTCTTCTTCCTAGGGGGGCATGACAGAAAATAATTGAGAAGCACTGGGTTAGTGGAAGCCAGTGAAGGGATTGGCAGAGAGGGGCAGCAGTCGCTGATCGGTTGGTAAGGTGTATGAGTCTAGCAGCAGCATTCATAATAGACTGAAGGGGGGATAGCTTGTGTAACAGTAGACCATTGAGGAGGGAGTTGCAGTAATCAAGGCGAGATATAACCAAAGCGTGGATAAGTTGTTTTGTGGTATCATTGGTTAGAAAGGGACAGATTTTGGAAATGTTCCGGAGGTTGAGGCGGCAGGATTTAGCCAGTGAGTGGATATGGGGCCCAAAGGAGAGGTCAGAGTCTAGGATTACGCCTAGCACCCTGGCATGAGGGGAAGGACTAATGGTTGTGCTGTTGATCTTAATGGATACTAATGAATTTACTAAAGCTGGCTATACATGGTTTGAATTTAGGCCTATTCTTGTTGAATTGCCTGAAATTCAAGCCATAGTGGCCTTGACAGCACCACCCATTTCAACAAAGGTCGCTTTAAATAGTAATTTAGCCAGTTGGAAAATTCTCAGTCAAGCAGTGACTGTAGACAGTCATGGATGTTCAATCTGGAATTGGGGTATCTGTATATATGTTTCCAGTTCTGCCACAACACTTAAGTCATGTATTTTTTGGTGACTAAAACATTAAGACTGCCTGTGATGCAACACGTAGAAGGTGACTTCATTTTGTACATTGCAAATCTGTAAACAGGTAAATCTTGAGCAAATAAATTGACATCTAGATTACATATCCGTTTAGTTTCTCTCCCTGTCTGTGTCCCTGTTAGGGGCCCCAGACTTCCTTTATAAAAAAAAATGAAATTTATTTTTTCTTGAGCCTTCAGCAGTGTGTTCATTGAGGAAATTGTCCAGTTTGCAGACTTTGCCAAACTCTGGTCATGTGTCACTCCATCTCAACAAGCAGGTTTATTACATGACGAAGGACTTTCTGATACCTTTCCAGTGTTAATGTAGCTCTTAGAATATATTTGAGCATGATGGTCACTAGTTGGTCAGCAAACTGTCACTAATAAAGTATTTTCTGAATACCACGATGACCCAAGAGTGCTCTGTACCAACTGGCTGTCGATAGCAGTGTCCTCAAGATGATACAGTTTAATGAGTTAGGAAGCCCATAGATGTGATTTTCTTTCCTTCCATCATGGCTAGAAGGGAAAAAATGCACTCAATTCCCCCATCAACACGGTAAGTGTTGATGGAGGAATAAGCAAAAGGCAACATAATTTGTTGTGTGTGTGTGTCTTAAAAGTGAGTCATGCTTATACCTGTCACCACTCTAGCTATTAAACCCAATATCAGGTTAAAACAGTTTGTTTAACCCAATAAATAACACCACTATTGCAATAATGCAATAAACATAACCTCAAAGAATACATAAACAGTGAGTTCCACCACCACTGCTAACTTAAATCAAATAACATCAAAAACAGAAAAGGCTGTTGAATTCAGGAAAGTTCCAACATCACTCCAAACATGCATTCTGTGTTTCCTCCACTTGTGATGAGTAGCAATGCCTCCTATGAATTTCACCACCACATACCTGTAGCTTTTGTTTGATATACATACTGTGTATCTACTCGCATATCGCTGTAATGCAATCACATGTAATAAAACCAGCACCGCTGCCACCTCCAGTGGGCTTGTTAATGTCAGCACAGGCTCTGCTCCGACGCGTTTCTTCCATAAGGATGTTTTTTTTAACCCCTTGAAAACATCCTTTTGGAGGAAATATGTCAGGGGCAGAGCCTGTGCTGACAGTATCAAACCTGCTGGAGGTGGCAGCACTGCTGGTTTTATAACATGTGATTGCATTACATCTATATGTAAATAGATACACATTATATACAATATAGCAAATGAAAGCTACAGGTTGCACTATGGGATGCCTGTTTATTTCATTTATGGGATAACATGCATGGTGGAGGTGGAGTGCTTGCAGTGAATACCTGTTTATGTGCCCTGTGGTTCTCAGATATCTTTGGAGTATCCTGCTGCTGTAATTCTCGTTGATGGTCTCTGATCCATAGGTGGATGATCCCTGATTCAAACATGCTGTTTTAGACCACCTATAACTTGGAGTCTACAGAATTGGTAAGAAGCTGTATGTGGTGATGGTGAAATTCACTGAAGGCATTGCTACTCACCAGTGAGTAGTGTGTTTCCTCAAGTGGAGGAAACAGTTTGCATCTGTGGAGTGGTGTTGGAACTCTCCTGAATCCAACAGTCTTTTTCTGTTTTTGACTTTATTTGATTTATGTTAGTAGTGGTGTTACTTACTCACTTTTTCTTTGAGGTTATGTGTACTGCACTATTGAAATAGTGGTGTTACTTACTGGGTTATACAAACTGTTTTAACCTGATATTGGGTTTAATAGCTAGAGTAGTGACACTTATAAGTATGATTTCACTTTTAAGACACAGCACAACATTTATTTTGCATTTTGCTTATCTTATGCACTAATATTGAGTGTTTCTTGAGTGCAGCTGTGGAAGATTTTCATTTATGTTTGATTCAAAACCAAAATAAATCTTTGCACTCAGAATAAATAATACATAAAAAGTAGCTGAAAAAGAAATGGATACAATCCCTCAACATAATAGATAGCAAAAAAAGTGCAGCCCTGGATAGTCTGAACCACAAATTAATTCATACAAAAAGACGTGCTAATTAGTGTGAAAAGTCCATCAAAAGAAAGTCCAACAAGAACTGCATTCCGTGCCTCAAAAAAGAGAGGAAGATGACACCTCTATAATCTTTGTGAGAAAAAACAAACATGCAAGTGGTCTTACCAGAACTATTGGGTTTTATTATTAGGAAAGTCAACAGCGCTTTAGGGGTTAACCCTGCACAACTCTCCGATTTATGGCACAGAGATAGTCTCCTTGGCTCCACTCCAACTCCGTAATACCGCCAATGAGTCATGCAAAGAATAAACATTAATAGTGTAGTATGCCCAAAACTTAAACCTTTATTATAAAGTAGACAAATGCACTCACAATGGTAAAGAATTGCATAGCCATCAAGAAAATAATACCGGAACTGTGGCAATCCCGATGTGTAGACGTTCCGGCCAGGCGGTGTGTAGCATGCTGCCGTCATGTGAAGCTCCATTCAACGCGTTTCGTCATCAATTGACGTTGTGAGGGGTGCCTGGGATTGCTGCAGCTCTGGTATTGTTTTCTTGATGGCTATGCAATTCTTTACCATTGTGAGTGCATGTGTCTACTTTATAATAAAGTTTTATGTTTTGGGCATACTACACTATTAGTGCTTATTCTTTGTGTGACTCATTGGCGGTATTACAGAGTTGGAGTGGAGCCAAGGAGACTATTTCTGGGCCATAAACCAGAGAGTTGTGCGGGATTAACCCCTAAAGTGCTGTTGGCTTTTCTAATAAAAAAGCCCAATAGCTCTGGTAAGAGCTCTTACATGCTTTTGTTTCTCACGAAGATAATAGAGGTGGCATCTTCCTCCCTTTTTGATGCACTGAATGTGGTTCTTGTTGGACTTTCTTTTTAATGGACTTTTCACATTTATTATCACTTTTCTTTTGTATGAATTAATTTGTTTTTCACACTATCCAGCGCTTCAGTTTTTTTTTATATGTATTTATGTATTATTAATTTATTGGTTTAGAAGCACCAAGCGCAGTTTTTTTTGCCTTCATTGTTGATGGAGGAATGCATCCTGCATCACTATTGTGTTCTGCCGGTGGGGAGCCTTCCCTGTTGGCAGAGCACAATGATTACTGCTAGCGGCTATAGACACAGGCAGTAATTGCATGTAAATAATCTGACAGGCTGGTTGTACTGTCGGTTGTGCTGTGCTGTTGATGGATCGATATAGGTACAATCAGCTTTCTCCTAGATGGTTTGAATCTTGGCCGGTCCCTGCTGAACTAGCTGAGATTCAGTCCATCTATGGCCAGATTAAGTTAAAGATTTTGTACATGCTAAGTGCAGGAAGAAATACTTTTTGTAAATATTGTGTGATGCATACCTGTAATGTACTTGCCAGTTCCAATCACCTGTGTAGTATGTATTCTTGCAGTCAAAAAAATTGAGAAAAAAAATCAGACAAGTGTCTTTTTCAGAACCTAACATATTTTTCATAAAAACAAATGCACTTTATCATTCATTTCAGTTTACTTTTTTATTTGTTATATAATTTAATTTCTATGTTGAGGGGCCCCTGACCTTGAAGTGCCCCGTGCCCCCCAAGGTCTAAATCCGGCACTGCTTACTGTCCTATAGGTAAAACAGGAAGCAAGAGAAAATTCCCCAAAAGTGAGGGAATTCCTGGTTGTCAATCCAAATTCAAAATATCTCCATTAAGTGATAGATACATTACACTGGTTGATCCTTTCGTTTTGCCATCATGTTTTGTTTTATAGAAGTGGCTGCAGCCTTTGGATTGCTGTACATATTTGCACGACACACCTACTTTAAAGGCTATGTAGCGTCTGCAAAGGACAGGTAAGAAACATGTTTCATTTAAAATATAAATTGCCTTTCAATTTATTATCATGTGAAATTTCAAACTTGTTACACCATGATACAATACATCAATATAAGGAATGGGCAAAAAGAATAATTAACGAGCGCTTGGAGATGGATGGTAAGCAGCTAGCATGAAAGGCACAAACCTCAAACCTTCACACTATAGTAACAACACATGCAGCGCTACAGATAGTCAATGTATAAAAATACATATAAAGTGATAAGTGATGGGCTATTGGTGCTTAATAATATTTGATAAGTGTCCTCATATCATGATAAAATAGTCCCAATAAGCCGTGCAAAGGTGGTTGACTCCGTGCTGAAAGGTGTCAAATATTATGCACTCACCAGAAAGCGCATAATATGCGCATTTGAGTTGTCAGACCACTCCTGGTCCTAGAAAGCTGAACCTGTGTGGATCATCTGGCAAGCTGTCACTCTGATGGGGATAAACTTTTCCTTGGCCAGCAGGGGGATTCCAGACATCCAGAGACCCTTTATAGCACTGATCCAGATTCCTCACCCAGGGCACTCATATGAGGTATCCACCTTAAGAGAGGGGGGGGGGGGCTTGACCAAAAAAAAGCCCACCCCAAGAAACACGGATAGTGTAGTACGTTTCAAAAAGAGATCCTTTATTGCAGAGTAAAAACAGACAGGTCACTCACAGGGTTTCCCAGATTCAAAGATGGCCGCCAGCCTCCACGAGGTACGGAACGGCGTGACGTCACCGGCTAGGCTCCACCTGGCTAGGGTGGAGCCTAGCCGGTGACGTCATGCCGTTCCGTACCTCGTGGAGGCCGGCGGCCATCTTTGAATCTGGGAAACCCTGTGAGTGACCTGTCTGTTTTTACTCTGCAATAAAGGATCTCTTTTTGAAACGTACTACACTATCCGTGTTTCTTGGGGTGGGCTTTTTTTGGTCAAGCCCCCCCCCCCCCCCCCTCTCTTAAGGTGGATACCTCATATGAGTGCCCTGGGTGAGGAATCTGGATCAGTGCTATAAAGGGTCTCTGGATGTCTGGAATCCCCCTGCTGGCCAAGGAAAAGTTTATCCCCATCAGAGTGACAGCTTGCCAGATGATCCACACAGGTTCAGCTTTCTAGGACCAGGAGTGGTCTGACAACTCAAATGCGCATATTATGCGCTTTCTGGTGAGTGCATAATATTTGACACCTTTCAGCACGGAGTCAACCACCTTTGCACGGCTTATTGGGACTATTTTATCATGATATGAGGACACTTATCAAATATTATTAAGCACCAATAGCCCATCACTTATCACTTTATATGTATTTTTATATTTTTACATTGACTATCTGTAGCGCTGCATGTGTTGTTACTAATATAAGGAATGGCTTTACATTAAAAGCAGAACTCTAGTCAGAGATTATTATTATTATTATTACATCGTGTTGATGAAGAGATGAAGTTCTGACATACTTAAAGTCAAAGAAAAGCCTTGTTATAGTACTTGTAAAAATGTTGTCCACCACCTACTCCTATCTGTCCTGACTAACCTGTAAAAAAAGATGTGTGTACTTACAAATTTTTTATCTGCTCTAGTCCATTTACATGATCCCGCTGCTCTAGCCCCCTGATTTCAGTGAGTGGCTGCTGCAGGGGAGAATAAGGAGTGCCAAACATAGCTGGGCCATGGGAGCCTGTGGGTATTTCACGGCTCCTGGAATTTAGAGCCATTGTCAATGATCCCTTAAATACAGCTGCATGATCATATGATTGGATCAGAGCATATAGAAATTGGTTAAAGTGTTACTAAACCCAGGACCCTACATTCTCTATATCTGGTCTCTCACAGAACATGGAAATGCAATTATTGTAGTAAATATAAACTGCTAAACATCTTTTCTCATCAGCAGTTAGAGCAGCCTTGTGACTTCTATCAGTGTCCAGCAGAGGACTGGTTAAAGCTTGTAGGAGGAGCGTTCATTCTCCCCTAATAAGGCTGCAGGAAACTTGGCGCTCTGCCTGACAAGTGCTCATTGGCCCTGTGTTGATCACATGCACACTCCCAAGAAAAAAAAACCCCTCTAGCAATACACACCAAACTGAGCATGTACAGCTTGTTCCAAAAGCTCTATTCTATCAGGAGATGGTTTGGGGATTCTGGAAGATAGGGAGGGGGGAATTAGAGAAGAGAGGATCAAACATCCTTTTTACACATTAACCCCTTAGGTTCCACAGTGAGTATAACAAGCATGCTTTACTGCATATACAGAGTGATTTTACTGTTGTGTTTTTAATAACACATTAAGTACATAGCTCTATTCTATGCAAGTTAGGCAGGATAAGTACAAGAAGGGGGGAGGGAATGTTGTTAAGAACAGTTATAGTTAGGCTTTTCTTTCACTTTAATCCAGAAGGTTTGTATGAAATGAGCATTTATTTAAGAAGAACTCAAGAATCAAATGTAGAACCGTGAGCTTAAAGCTGAAATTTAATTGATTTATTTTTTTTGGCCGTGCTCTGGTTTCTTCACCACATTCCCCTCCGCCTCATCGAAATGCTAATGAAAATTTTAAATAAAGACTTTCTGTTTTAATTAAATATCCTATTTTTAGACCTAAGGACTGTGTTTCTGTGTTTATCAATGCAATGCAAGCAGATTATGGCTGGTGGGAGGAGCCAGCAGGGTGCTGTACATGGCTTCCAGGAAACATCACAGCACCCTGTTCAGTACTCCTCTGAAGAGCACTCAGCCCTGATGCAAGCAGTGGACTATCTCTTGGTAGAAATTATGCAAATATCAAAATGCCTTGATGAGTGGGTGTTTGCACTGAATTTGCATGCAATGTGCCCTAGGTAATGCTCACATGTATAAAACACAATACCTGCGCTTAGATGTAACCACACTCCAAAATCAAAAATACAGTAAAAACAAAAAAAATCAGCTTGCACATAAAAGGCGATATTGCAAATATAAACAGAAAAAATGCAGCGCTAATTAAAAAGCATAAAAGTCCATATAAGTCCTCAAATGAATGAAACAAATTGCAAGAGAAGATTCTGATATCATGAGCCGTCACCATACACCCAAAAAAATGAACCCCTTACCGGACACTTTGACTCTATAACACCGGTCAATAGGCGCAGTGTGATAAGGAATCCGTATGGCAGGTAATCTTCAATAGAAATCCTCTCCCAGATATAAGATGGTTCCTCCACTTTAACGACCTCCAAAACTTGAAGAAACTCCCATCCGATTTTCAAGTAAAGAATAAAGAACAAAAGCAACTCATAGTGCAGTAATTCATTAAAGTTTTGGCAGATTTATTACAAGATCCACGTACATCAAAAATTTAAAATAAGCAGCATTGATTTGAAATTGTTTCAAACCAAAGACATGGCCGCCGTCCCTCCAGAACACATGTGATGCTGAGCCTCCATGATTGAAAGAACAGAAATTCTATGAGTGAAAGGGACCGGCCGGAGACAGGCTGAGGAGAAAAGGATGATGATAGTCCTCCAAACAGGAAATTAGGTGGCTGTATCTGATTTGCTGCAGCTTCTAATGCATCCATTGAGAAGCTCACATTGTGCAGTGAAATCAGAATAAGCACTTTTTAGTACAGAAGAGGAGCCTGTTCAACTGTGTACAGTCAAAAGGTACAGTAAGGCTACTGGGCATTGTCAGAAGAGTTTTACTTATCCTTCCTAGAGCACCCTAGCCCCTAATCCCAATACTTTCTACTATGCTTGAACATATGAACGCTGATGCCAATAATGCACTGCTCAGTGCCTAAGCGTTCACATGCCAGGCCAGTCACTTGATCTGAGCTTTGCCACCTTCTGCTGCTCCTTGAGTAGAGGAAGCTTTGATAGTTTCTCTTAGAACGTTGGAAATGGCCCAGGTGCTCTGAAAGTGCAATAATACAGTAAAGGTAAGGAACTGCCATTGTGCTGTAAATCAATTTTAGGGTAAAGTACAGCTTTCCTTTAGTAACTTAGGCAAAGATCAAATAGCAGCTAACTATTAAACCAGTCAACACTCATCCATCATTGTTCTGACTACAAGTGATACACTTTGTGCATCATTGATGTTCTATGCACTGGATTAACCCTTTACTATTACAACTGCATCATGACTGGCATATAGCATATAGTATAAAATACTTATGGCCTGCATTTGCATGTTTTTATTTTTCAGGATCCCTGGATTTTATCTCACCCTGATATCTTTATTCCTGTTACTTCTTGTTGCTCTCCTTGGAATTACAAATGGCCTGCTTAAGACTTACCTGGATGTAAATGTGATTAAAAAGATGAGTCACATGTTCTAAATACACATAAACTGCTGTTATAAATTGTGTTAAAAAATTATGTGCGTGTGTATATGTGTGTGTATATAAATAATACTATATTAACATTGGGACGCCTGCCTTTACACACACATGAACTTTACTGGAATCCCAGTCTTAGTCCATACCGTTCAATATTGAGTTGGCCCACAGCAGGGACCGGCCGAGATTCAAACCATCTAGGGGCAAGCTGATTATACCCATATCGATCCATCAACAGCACAGTACAACCAGCCTGTTGGATTCTTTACATGCAATTACTGCCTGCGGCTATAGCCGCTAGCAGTACTCATTGTGTTCTGCTGACAGGGAAGGCTCCCCACCGGCAGAACACAATAATGCTGCAGGATGCATTCCTCCATCAACAATGAAGGCAAAAAACTGCGCTTGGTGCTTGGTGCTAAACCAATAAATTGGATAGTGTGAAGAACAAATTAATTCATACAAAACAAGTGCTAATAAGTGTGAAAAGTCCATAACAGCTATAACAGCTTCAACTGTGAAGGCTGTCCACAAGGTTTAGGAGTGTGTCTATGGGAATGTTTGACCATTCTTCCAGAGAGCATTTGTGAGGTCAGCCACTGATGTCGGACGAGAAGGCCTGGCTCGCAGTCTCCGCTCTAATTCATCCCAAAGGTGTTCTGTCAGGTCGAGGTCAGGACTCTATGCAGGCCAGTAAAGTTCCTCCACCCCCAAACTCGCTCATCCATGTCTTTATGGACCTTGCTTTGTGTCCTGGTGCTCAGTCATGTTGGAACAGGAAGGAGCCATCCCCAAACTGTTCCCACAAAGTTGACAGCATGAAATTGTCCAAAATGTCTTGGTATGTTGACACCTTAAGAGTTCCCTTCACTGGAACTAAGGGACCAAGCCCAACCCCTGAAAAACAACTCCACACCATAATCCCCCCCTCCACCAAACTTTACACTTGGCACAATGCAGTCAGGCAAGTACCGTTTTCCTGGCAACCTCCAAACCCAGATACATCCATCGGATTGCCAGACAGAGAAGATTGATTCGTCACTCCAGAGAACATGTCTCCACTGCTGTAGAGTCTAGTGGTGGCATGCTTTACACCACTGCATTGCATTGCACTGCACTTGGTGATGTAAGGTTTGTATCCAGCTGCTCAGCCATGTAAACCCATTCCATGAAGCTCTCTACACACTGTTGTTGTGCTAATCTTAAGGCCACATGAGGTTTGATGTCTTTAGCTATTGACTCTGCAGACAGTTGGTGACTTCTGCGAACTGTGCGCTTCAGTATGCGCTGACCCCTTTCTGTCATTTTATGTGGCCTACCACTTCGTGGCTGAGTTGCTGTTGTTCCCAGTTGCTTCCACTTTGTTATAACAGCTGGCCGTGGAATATTTAGTAGCAAGGAAATTTCACAGATGGACTTATTGCACAGGTGGCAACCTGTCACGGTACCACGCTTGAGTTCACTAAGCCCCTGAGAGCGACCCATTCTTTTACAAATGTTTATAGAAGCAGTCTGCATGCCTAGGTGCTTGATTTTATACACCTGTGGCCATGGAGGTGATTGGAACACCTGTATCCAATGATTTGGAGGGGTGTCCCAATACTTTTGCCAATAGTGTGTGTATATATATATATATTATATATATGGCAGTAATTTTGGCTAAATTACCTGATATGCCCATTATCAGTGGCCATTGTCAGTCTTGTTATATGGCTGCTGCAAAAGTGTAGAGCTGACATAACCTGCCATTATGCAGATCAGAGAACAATTACATTATAAGGATAGCTTGAAAAGCATGTCTTTCATTCTCTTTTATTAATGTTTAATATATTCATGAATGTATTCCATAGCTACGAGCCACAGCTGATGAAATAAGAATAATTGCCCAGTATTACAGTTGCTGTGCACACATTACTATTCCCTGTATGACAATTATTTTTACATGTTTTCAAAAACATTGCTACTCGGAATGCATAATGTAGCAAATCACAGGTTGCAGGACCTGGGAGAATCTTGTTTGCTGCAGTATTCATGTGACCTTTATGGGATGCACCCAATACCAGCGCAGCACCCCTCTTTATCCGCTGGGCTAATCTTTCCATGATCACCTTGACCTGGACTAAGGCAAGAGTCAAAGAGATCAGTATACAAATTATACAAATCCAGCTTGCAGAGAATTCACAAAAATGTCTACTATCACAACATAACCACACCTCAAAGCAGATCATTTCATAGTACATGTTTCCTTTCTCTGTCTCAAAAGTGAGATTCAGAGGTCTACACCCCTAATATTGGGGGGTCCAGTCCTGTATGTTATGTATGTGCTAATAATGATGTTTGTGCATTTTTAGTGAAAGTATTATTTTGGTATTTTCATGGGGGGGGGGGGGGTGGCTGTCAGGTAGGCTGTATAGGGCCCTGTGACTTCTAACAGCAGCCCTGTCAGAAAGTGAGAAGCAAGGGTGCAGCAGCCTCTGATTGGGGAAGGTGAGGAGACTCGGACAGGATGAGCAATGGGGGTGACAAGCAAGAGTTGCTCCAATCAGACACTGCTGTCTCCACATTTGTTACCCCCTCCATTCTTTACCCTCTAAGCAGATGCTGTTGCCCCCCTCCCCCCACTTCTCATCCTCCCAATCAGATACAGCTACAGCCTTGCTCCTCAAACCCCCTAAGCTCCCATTCACACCTGAGGATTTTCTAGCTCAAAGCTCCAAAACACTCAGGGCGAAAAAAATCAATTATTCCATATCACATCTCCACGCCAAACGCCTGAAGCTCTAAACAGTTTTGAAGCTTCCTTTTTTATCTTTTTTTTTCTCCATAGAAATGCACGGAAGCACACGATTCATGCATTTTTAGAGCATTTTTGCACATTTTGTTGCACATTTTTGGAGCGTTTTGTGTTGGTTGTGAGGATTTGACTCCTGCTGGCTTCCTAGCAATGATGAGACATCGCTGCTGTTAGGGGGAATTCCCTCATCCTTTATCCTGGCCTCCTTTATTCTGTCCATTTCTTGCCTATCCTCTTCTCTCATCTGTTCTACTTTTTTCTTCCTTTTGCTTTGAAAAGGTTTCAATCTTTCCCAAGGTTTTGATTGTTTTCTATGTAATCTCACTTCCCGTCATTTCAGGAGGAGAGGAAGTGAGTGGAGGGATTTCCATGAGTTAATAGGTATTTACTAAATATTTATTCTCCCCAATATAAAAAAAACATGTACAGGTCAAAAACAGCCTCCTCTCTCATTCTGGCCTCCTCCCTCATCCTGGCCAACTCCCTCATCCTGGCCTCCTCCCTCACCCTGGCTTCCTCCCTCATCCTAGCCTTCTCCCTAAACCTGGCCTCTTGTCTCATTCTGGCCTCCTTCCTCATCCTAGCCAACTTCCTCATGCTGGCAAACACCCTCATCCTGGCCTCTTCCCTTATCCTGGTCTACTTCCTCAACCTGGCCACCTTCCTCATATCTGCCAACCTCCTCACCGTTGCCTCCTCCCTCATCCTGGCCACCTCCATTTCCTTCTTTGCTTTACTCTCCACTTCTTTCTTCATTATTTTTCTCAGTTCGGCCGCATTCCTCTCACGGTCTGCTTTTATATCCTGTAGTATACTGTACTCCATCACTATCCTCTCTCCATCTCTCCTCACCTCCTCTCTCACCCTTTGTTCCTTTCTTATCATCTCCTCTATTCTCCTGCTCTCACCCTGGCCACCTAGACCAACCTGGTCTCTTGTCTCATTTTGCTCTCCTGCCTCAACCTGGCCACCTCCCTCATTTTAGCCACCTCCCTCATTTTAGCCACCTCCCTCATTTTGCCTCCCTCCCTCATCCTGGCCTCCTCCCTTAACCTGACCTCCTCCTTTATTCTGTCCTTGTGTTGCCTATCCTCTTCTTTCGTCTGTTCTACTTTTTTCTTCCTTTTGCTTTGAAAAAGCACTTTTAAAAACTGTGTCAACCTAATAAAAAAAAGTGAATGTAAGTTGAAGTACAGATTTTAAAGTGAAACTCCACCCATTTCTTTTTTTTTTGGATGGAGTGGTAAAAGTTTCAATCTTTTCCAAAGTTTTGATTGTTTTCTATGTCACCTGACTTCCCGTCATCTCAAGAGGAGAGGAAGTGAGAGTGGAGGATTTCCCATGAGTCAATAGGTATTTACTCTCCCCAATATAAAGAAAACGACATGTAAAAGTAAAAAAATTGAGCTTTATATATATCTTTAGAGAGACTCCTAAAACTACAAATTATAAATCAGCTACTATAAAAGGCTCTATTAGTATCTGCTGTTTGTAAAAACTTCTTTGGGGTTTTCATCACTGTGTCTTCATACGGAAAACTTCCACTCACTTCCTGCCCCTAAGACACAACAAAAGTAAGGCTGTCTCACCATCAGGGACAACTAGCACATCCTTACTACAGATTACAAATTCGGACCTGCAGCTTTCCCCTGCTTCTTACCCCACCATTGAAATGCTGCTGCATCCTTGCTCCTTACCACCTATCAGACACTGCTGAATGGGGGGTGGGGAGCAGGGTGCAGTTGCCTGCTCCTCACCCCCCTATTTCTTGCCGTCCCATCAGACACATCTGCCCTCTGCTCCTCACCCTCCCAGTTAGATGCTGCTGCACCCTTGCTCCTCACTCCCAGTCAGATGCTATTGCCCTCCAAGAATTAGGGGGCAGACCCTGCTCCTCACCCCACTGTTCCTCACCTTCTCAATGCTGTCCACCTCTCCTTACCCCCTCAGACACCACAGCCCCTAGGGCATCAGCAGTGTCTGACTGGGCATGAAAAATAAGGGTGCAGCTGCTGCCCCCCACTCCTCATTCCATTGTCAGATACTGCTGTCCCTTTGCTCATCACCCCTCATCAGATACTGCTTTTCCCTCCACTCCTCTGTGTCCATTAGACGCTGCTAAATGACCCCCCCCCCCCCCCCATTCCTCTCCCCATATCAAATGCTTCTGCCCACCACTCTTGACTCCAATTAAGCTGCTGTGCCC